GTCTGAAGATAGTGGGAGTGATGAAGACAGTGGGAGTTCAGAGGCAGCTACTCCACACATCAGACAGTCCACCAGAATCAGGAGACCTCCTAACAGGTATTCTCCTTCAGCAAATTATCTATTGCTGACCGAGAATGGAGAGCCAGAATCTTACTCAGAGGCGTTGGCTGTGAGAGATTCCATACAGTGGAAGAAGGCCATGGAAGATGAGTTAGATTCACTTGACAAGAACCAAACTTGGTCCTTAGTCAAGTTACCACCGGGAAAGAAAGCATTGGAGAACAAATGGGTTTTCAGAATCAAAGATGAAGCAGATGGGAGCAAAAGATACAAGGCCAGGCTAGTTGTCAAAGGGTTCCAACAGAAGAAGGGGGTTGACTACAATGAAATCTTCTCCCCGGTTGTGAAGATGACTACTATCAGGTTGATTCTTGGTATCGTTGCAGCTGAAAATTTACACTTGGAGCAGCTGGATGTGAAGACTGCTTTTCTTCATGGAAACCTTGAAGAAGACATTTACATGGCTCAACCGGTAGGTTTCTCAGTAAGTGGTAAGGAGAAGTTGGTGTGCAAACTCAAGAAGAGTCTATACGGACTGAAGCAAGCTCCTAGACAGTGGTACTTGAAGTTTGATAGTTTTATGCAGCGGAATGGGTACACTAGATGCAAGATGGACCATTGTTGTTACTTGAAGAAATTCGAGTCATCATACATTATTCTTCTTTTGTATGTTGATGACATGTTGGTGGCTGGATCAAACATGCAGGAGATCAACAAGCTCAAGAAGAAGTTGTCCGAAGAATTTGAGATGAAGGATTTAGGGGAGGCGAGACAGATTCTTGGGATGAGCATAGTCAGAGACAAGGTGGAAGGTACTTTAAAGCTTTCACAGCAGAAGTACATTCAGAAAGTCCTTGAGAAGTTCAGAATGACGGATGCCAAGCCAAGGAGTACACCTTTAGGGAGTCAGCTGAAACTCTCCAAGCAGCAGTCTCCAAAGACCAATGAAGACAAAGATGAGATGGCTAAAGTCCCTTATGCATCAGCCGTTGGCAGCTTGATGTACGCAATGGTGTCAACAAGGCCGGACATTGCTCATGCAGTAGGAGTTGTTAGCAGGTTCATGTCGAATCCAGGGAAGGAACATTGGGAAGGAGTTAAGTGGCTGCTACGCTACTTGAAAGGCACTTCTGGAACTGCTCTTTGTTTCAGGAGGAATGGAGTAATTCTAGAAGGATTTGGTGATGCTGATTTGGGGGGCTGTTGTGATTCCGGGAAGAGCACTACGGGTTACATATTCACAATTGGAGGCACGGCGATCAGTTGGATGTCTAGACTTCAAAAGAGTGTGGCTCTTTCGACCACAGAAGCAGAGTATATGGCCATTGCTGAAGCGGCCAAAGAGTTGATCTGGTTGAAGAATTTTCTTTCGGAGTTGGGCATGGAACAGGGGGATTGCGGACTGCACTGTGACAACCAGAGTGCCATTCACCTCGCGAAGAATCCAGTGTTTCACAGCAGAACGAAACACATCAAGATGCGATACCATTTTATCCGAGAGTTGATTGAAGATGGTATCATAAACTTGAAGAAGATCCTTGGTACGAAGAATCCAGCAGACATGCTTACCAAGGTGGTGACAACGGAGAAGTTGAAGCTATGCATGGCTTCAACTGGCCTTCCAGATACTTGATGGGAAGGTGTGAACGAGAGATAGAGATCAGGAGTGTTGCAGAGGATACATGTTCTTGGATGGCAGATGACTGTTGAACAAGCCTCCAAGTGGGAGATTGTTGAAGATGGAGCCTTGTTTGGAATGCAGGAGTATATACCCGATCGGGTATGTTGGGTTACTCGATCGGGTATGAGGTGTTTGATGGGTCGAGTATTTCCCTGGTTTCTACACTCGATCGAGTATTGATCATTACTCGGTCGAGTATGCGTGTAAGGGTTACTCGGGTTATATTCTGGAGTTTATACTCGATCGAGTATGGAGGTATACTCGGTCGAGTATGTGTAAAAACACTACTCGGGCAGAATTCTGGAATCTATACTCGGTCGAGTATGTATGTATACTCGATCGAGTATACGGGAAAATTAATGACGGGATTAATTTTTGGGCCTGCAGCCTTAACCCTTGTTTAGGCTTTCTTAAACCTATTTAAACATCCCTAATGTATCTGTAAACCACCAGACGCTGGAATAATAATACATCTCTCTCTCGTTCGCCGTGGACTAGCGTAATCACACCGATTGCGTGAACCACGTAAATTCTTGTGTTCTTGCTTTAAATTTATCGTTTATCTTAGCCTAATCGTGATAATTAACACTATGCTCCTGTATCTATAATTAGCTTCTACGTGAATGTAATGCAATATACTACGTTTCAAATATGCATTGATATAACATTTTAAAATGAACATAACATCAGTACAAAATGAGCATTCATTAGTTTCCAAATGAGCAATTATATAGAAATCATAATCTTTGTTAGTTGAACATCAAAACATGTTAATTGAGCACCAAACCTTCTCTATTGATCGAGTATCAAAAACATGCAATTGAGTATCATGATATCCGGTCTCATGTATATAGTCTAACTCTTATGCAAATCTAACATGATACTTTTACATATGCATTTATATGTCATTTTAAAATGAGTATAAAATCAGTACATGATGAACAAACGTAACTTGCAAAATGAGTATTAAAAAATTCAAAATCTCATTTGAATTCTCTAATGTAATATAGTAATAAAAATATAGTAATTTTATATTAAAAATAATTTTTAGTCTTTCATTCTCGAATTAAAAGTATAATCGAGTTCTTTTTATAATGTTTACTCATGCATATTTATTTTAACACTATACACATTTAAGTATACTACAAAACTCATGTTAAATTAAAAATAGTAAAATATTAAAAATAGTAAAATAAAAAATTAATATCTAAAATATTTTATAATACATAAATTCAAAAAACAAAAGTTAGAAGTTTGATTAGATAGAGAGAAAAAATAAAATGTGAAATTTAATAAGATTTTGTATAGTTATTTATATTATAATTTTTCATAATATTTGAATATAAAATTAAAGTGAAAAGTTATGAAAGAAAAAAAACAAAAAGTCAAAAGACAACAAACCATAAAAGAAGAACCGAAAAGAAAGAGAACAAAAAAAGGAACCAAGCCCAATAGTAACGTTCAACGCAAGAGGCCACGTCCAGGAAGTGCATGCGTGCGGCGAAATAAAATGGACCATAGCAGCTCAATCTAAACATTGCCATTAAACTTTAAAGTTGCAATAAATTACAAAAGAATCCGGTTGTACCATGCTTTAGGTACAGCCGGCTGTACCGTATATATTGCGACTTTACACTTCCTTATTTGTCTCATTTGACAAACAAAACTATATCAAACAGTGCAAAACAATATCAAACAGTATCAAACAGTATCACAACAGTGTACTCTATAGTAAAGTCAAATTCATTTCCCTAATACGGAGTATATATATGAGAAGTCAAAGTGTCATGTTTATTAAGAGCGGGAAAGATCAAGTATCTTATTATATGGAAAAATACATTTAATGTTTAAACATTAAACATTTAATAAGTACGGAGTATTTCTAATTCAATTTTCATTTATATATTACGTAGTACTCCGTAATTTATAAAATACCCACTTTTGGGTCGCAAAGGGTCCCTATTTTCATAGGACCGGTCATGGCTATACTACTTTTTTTTATCATACATAGCTTTACTACTTTTTTTTGTCGTCGATCGCAAAATTTTATTAATTAAGCATATCGTTAGCCAACTGGCTATGAATACAATCAGGAATATCCTCGTAATAAAACCTACTGATCTGGTGAGCTAACATGTGCCCGAGCTAATATGTGGATAACATGATTATTTGCCGACCTTTTAGAGAAAGAGATTTCAAAATCACTTTTTGATGCAAGTAAAAAACTAATATCATATTAAAACAGCGAAGATGGTAAAAAAAAGAAATGCAATATTCATTATTTGAATAAAATTCTTATACAATACTTCTAATCTTAATAAACCGCTGGTTGTTGTACTTAAATACATTTTCATTTACTATCCGTATTTCGGTCAAGGGAGACACATATTCAATTAAACAGATTAAGATCCTGTTTGGCAACACTGTTTTTCGGCTTATCAGGCTTATCAGCCAACTTTTTCACCAAACATGTAATTTTTGCTTTCGCGTGTTGATTTGTGTAATAAACAGAAAAAAGTAAGGTTGCAGTTACTTTTCTGACTGTATTGGCTGAAGTTACTGTAGATGACCATTTTAGCTATTTTTACATATATATTTTTCTTTATTTTATTAATAAAGAAAAATATATACTCAAATCTGTAGATGACCATTTTAGCTATTTTCTTTACTGTAGATGACCATTTTAGCTATAGTTCATTCGTCCCATTTTACCTGTCTTACTTTCCTTTTTTGGTTGTCTCAAAATAAGTGCCACATTTCCTTTTTTAGAAAGAAATATCTGGTTCACAACATTTCACTTTACTATACTCAAATCTCAACCACAACTTTTACCTTTTAAATTAGCACAATCAATTGATGTAGCCACTTCAGCCACGAAAAAGGTTCATAAATTTCAGCAGAACCAACCAAAACCGCCGATTTTCGTGCAAATGAGCTCTAATTGATTACGGGTCAACTTTTTTACTCCATATATACTCCGTATTATTTTATGGGAAAAACATTTCATGTTTATTTATGAACAACATTAGGACGGATGGACAACAAGCATTCAATTAAAAATGGTATAAAGTGATCACATCATTGATATGGGCTACTCTGCATTATTAAGTACGAACATACCGTTAAAGAATATGTAGGTGTCCTTCAACTTCTAATTTGAGCTATCAATGTAACATGGGCAAGCAGCGCATTTTCCCGAGGCACGAACCTTTTTTCGTTTTTATACTCCGCCTAATTCATGATTCGTACAATCGTATAAAGCTTCTTCAATTATATGGTCGGAATCAAATAAGCGAGAATTAGAAAAAAAAATCGAGAATTAGATCTCCCGTAAAAAAACATTCTATCTTACTTCATGTATCTACTCTTATACCCACTTTATACCAACTATATTTGTAAAATGCTTTTTTGTATGTGCAACCGATTCACAGACAATATTTTGTTTGTGCAAAATATTGTCTGTGAACCGGGGTTCACAGACAAGAAAAAAACCCCTTCACGGTAAAGGAGTTGAGAGCTAAACTCTCCTGGGAACGATTTGCGACCCAGTTCTTCTTCCACGTTCAAGGCATCTATGGATCTCCATGGTCGAAAGATGATGTTTTTTTTACTGATTTGAAGTAGTTTAACACTGATTAACCTTAAATCCGTCCTTGGATTTTTGTTCGGAATAGACATTGCTGTTCGTGATAACCTAAATTGCGAAACTACTGTTCATGGTCGCTGGGAAGATTGAAATCCAACGCTTTGGACTCAGACCTTCAAGTTTGGGTCGCCGGGAAGATTAATAACCTCAGATTTCCTATTTCCGCACACTGTTCACCACTCTTGGCTACACGCGTCTTGTTCGATGCTCTGATTCAGAGCTTCCAGTTGTGGTCGCCGGGAAGCACCGTTCTTGGGTAACCGCGGCTAGTTCGATGCTCTGGTTCAAGCGCGAACTACAAGTGAGCTCGAGCTTCGTCTGCTAATTCTCGAACAGTGTTTACCTCCACCATGGTGAGGAAGAAGATCGTGCATCAGGAACCACCGACCGTGCGAAGTACCAGGTCGAAGTTTACTCTCCTTGCTGACTTAGATGATGAATTCCCAGCTCTCAAGCGAGCAGGGGAGGTTTCCATTGAGGCAGAACCTTCGGCTGGTGCAGGGGAATCTATATCCCAGCCAGCTAATGAAGGAATTTCTACTCTTTTGGTGCCAATTAAGCCTTCTGTAAGTGCAATGAATGCTTTGGTATCTGTCCAGACTTATGAGAAACAGCCCTCACTTGCAGCAGGTGTGAAAGCTACTGCTGTCATTACCAAGGCAGGACCTGCTGACCAAGGAAAGAATGTTTTAGTCTCTGTCCAGACTTCTGAGAAACAACCCTCACTTGCTGCAGGTATGAACGCTACTGCTGCCATTACCGAGGCAGGACCTGCTGATAACCTAGGGATGTTGGTGGCAGCACCTTCTGCAAATGGGCAGCCTACACAGACCCAAACTGTTAAAGAAATTAAGGCAGGAGTTAAGACTTGGAGCACACTTTTCAAGGATAACAGGGATCCTACACATGGAATCAAACTGAAATATATCCCACCAAAAGGCAAGGAATTAGACTTTTCTGATAAAGCGCTACCATCCATGGTTGAGATGTGGGGCTATTGCCTTGTTGGATACTTCACAGGTACATTCCCGGGCCTTAAAGCAATCCATGAACTCAAATGGAAGTGGGGCGTCAAATGCCAAGTTAGATCACATGAGAGGGGTTGGGTTATTTTCAAATTTCAAAATGAATTGGATAGGACTAAGGTGCTAACTGAGAGTCCTTACACTGTCTTTGGCAAACAACTAATTCTAAAGGAGCTTTCTGAGGACTTCTCATTCGAGGATGAAGAATTTCTAAAAGTACCTATTTGGGTCAAATTCCCCAAACTACCATGGAAATTATGGAATGATGAGGCTATGAGTGAAGTAGCATCGATGGTTGGAATTCCGTTGACTACGGATAAAATAACCCAAGAGAAGACAAACCATAACTTTGCTCGGGTCCTAATTGAGGTTGATGTTTCGAATCCACCGCCACTTTCATTTCCCATACGTTTATCTTCCCGAAAGGTATTCAAACAAATGGTGATATACGAAACATTTCCTAATTATTGTTTCCACTGTAAAGAATACGGGCATCACCCGTTTATTTGCAAAAAGTTGGCACCAACTAAAGTGGGACAGAATGTTAGCAAAGAGGCTGAGAATGAGACTTCTAACCGTGAAATGGCTGAAAATGAAAGGAAGGAAAAGAAAGAAGCTGGGAAGTTAGATTCTACCCATGGAAAGGATGATGTCCAGAATGTTAATTTGGATGAACAGGGGGGAAATGATTTGGGAATAATACCTACGGTGATAGTGACTGAGAAGCGTGTTATGGGAGAGACGGTAGTGCAGGATGAGAACTTTGCAAGGGTTTGTGGGATAGTTCCAGCCCACAAACAAGCGACTCCAGAACCTGTTATGCCCATGCCGAAACATACTGCCCCGCCAAAGAAGATGGTAGAGCTGGAGCAGGGTAACCCGGTTGATCCTGAACCTGCATTGCCGGTTTCTGTGGACGCTGCTGCAATGGAAAATCCTGGTGTACTAGAACATCATGGCAACAAAGACCCGGATACGGAAGAGAAAGGTGATACTACTATTTCCGATGACCAGTATGAGACTGAAGAGGAACCGGATCAAGAACATCATGTCATGAAAACCACCAAAAAAAGTAGGAAGAGAAAGGGTGAGACAAATGAGAAATATAAAAGACGGCTTGGAAGAATGATTGGAATGAAGATAAAATAATTCTTGGATGGGAAGACTACGGCTTCCTTAGATTTTTAATCTATTTAATTAGTGATTTGTGAAGTGGGGACTGTCCCATTATTTTGATGCATTATATCTAGGTTAGATTATTCTAGCTTAGACAGTCATTTCGATTTTGATTTGATGCATTGTAAAATGCTATTTTTTCGGTTGCTAATATACTTACATGTTATCGAAAAAAAAAAAAAAAAAAAAAAAAGAAAAAAACCCCTTCACAAACATAGATGGGTATAGAAATGGTTATAAGAGTGACTACAAACATCATTTTTGAAAAACATTAGAGTATTGAGTTTTTTCCCCAAAGTTATGTTAAATAAAAAAAAAGTATGAAATTAGGATCCGATTAAATCTATATTCTCATATACGGCTGGAATCAACAATTATTCACATAAAATACAGAGTACAAAATAATGACAAACGGTTACTTAAATTATAGGGAAAATAACTTTAAGTAACATAAACAAGAGATTTGGACTTTCAATTATTTTCATTACTAGTCACGTAACATTAATCACTTGAAAATTTGGTCATGTAATTAATAAACATTTTCAATTTACGGACTTCATCCCCGAAAAGTACACTTTTCGGCAAAAATATAATGAAAAATATGGCACCAATGTCGTATTATTCTGCCACAAAATGTACATTCCGTTAGAAAAATTTTAAGTAAGATTACAAGACTCATAACAATAATAATATTCATATTTTTGTTTACGTTGGGTGATTCTGTTTTTGCGCCAGATTAGTAAATACTCCGTATAACCGTTCAAACAATATGTTAGGTTATTTATTTTTAAATCAGATATTACATTGAAACTTGAAAGTTAATTAATTAATATTTTATGAAAATAAAAAAATAAAAAAATATTGAATACTCCGTATATCTTCTTGAGGAAATAAAGAAAAATGATCTTAACGAGATCTTATACATTACATATCAATGGTGCCAATGTTCAAATTGTTATTCGGTGAGGGATGTAACTCCGATGGAGGACCACAAACATTTATTTTGAGCAGTGGACCACAATTTATTCCGGGTCGGGTCCGGGTCTAGACCCGACCCATTGACAGGCCTAAATTTTATATAGGATTGCTGGATTATTTATTGAGTTAAGTTAGAACTAGCTAGATTTATCTCCACCGGTTACTTGGTTATCTCATCTTTCTCCGGTTTATTTTCCGTACTATCTTTCTTTCTTTTACATGCTCTTCATTATATACTACGGAGTATGAGGCTATTTGGCAGCACTGTTTTTCGGTTTATCAGTCAACTTTTTCACCAAACACGTGACTTTTACTTTCGCGCGCTGAGTTGTGTAATAAGCATAAAAAGTAAGGTTGGAGTTTCTTTTCTGGCTATTGTGGCTGAAGTTACTATAGAGGGTCATTTTAGCTATTTTTACATTTAATTTTTTATTTACTTTATTAGTAAAGTATATTTTAAAAATAATTGTTTCTTAAATCAGCAGAATCAGCCAATGCAGCCACTTCATCCAGAACTTCAGAAATTTCAGCAGAATCAGCCAAAACAACCAATTTTCGTGCTACCAAATGGGCTCTATATATAGAGTATTATTATTATAGTAATATTGTAATTATTATTATTATTATTATTATTATTATTATTATTATTATTATTATTATTATTATTATTATTATTATTATTATTATTATTATTATTATTATTATTATTATTATTATTATTATTATTATTATTATTATTATTATTATTATTATTATTATTATTATTATTATTATTATTATTATTATTATTATTATTATTATTATCATTATTATTATTATTAAGTATCAAATCGATTGAAGTCAATTTTAGAGCAGACTACCAGAGTTACGTTACCAATGTACTACAATGGAGATGTTTTCACTCATTCTATATTATGGCGCACACTCTCCTTTCTTTTGTGAAGAGTTATTCCGATTAAGAAATATTCTAAAGGTATGTATATTTTCTTTTAGTTTATTGAGATAATTACCCTAGTTATGACTAAAACTTTCACACTTTCTCAATCTATGACCTAACTAGTTTTTTCCCCAAAATAATATTTAAATTGGTAATATTCAATTGATTTCGTAATTAATTAATAAATAAATAATTTTAAAGGATTAATATATCTTTTAGATTATGCCTATAAAACCCTAATCTCCTACTCCTTTTTCTCCAACCCTAGCCTCTAGTATCTCGCCACCCAAGGTGCGCCTGCTTCCCACGACCGCCGCATGACCATCTGCCACCACCGTCCCTTTGCGCAGCCGCCTACCACCGCCGCAGGTCATTCCTTGTGACCTCTGTCTCCTTCTCACCTATGTTCTTCGTGCAGATGGAGAAGGTGGGTGGAGTAAGGGTCTTCGTTGAGTGTGTCCCGCCCTGAGTTTCGAAGGTGAGGAAGCCCAGAAGAGGTCAGAGAGAGCTTCGGTGGAGGATTCTGTCGTAGTACTGATATGCTTCATTAGTGCCGCTGGGTGGATGCCTCGATATGGGCGGTTGACTCGATGTGTACATTCAAATGGTTTGTGGAGGAGGTTGATTGTCTCCTTGTGGGCCTTAGTTTGACTTTTGGTCATCCCATGATGTGTGCCTAATAAGTACATAGTGCACTGCAATTAACGTTTAAGATCTATTTTCAATTGGCTCTTCGTCTTTTCCTTTTTCTTGAAATTAAGATTTTTGGACATTGAAGTGTGCATTGAATAATGTAATAGATAGTGTTGAACGTGGACACTAAACATGGTAATAGATAGTGTTGTATAAGGCACTGAGTGAATGTATTGAGAGGAAGTGCAATGATTATGACAAGTAGTGCAATAATATAGAGCAGTGAAATCCAATATACGTAGTATTTAATTGGACGCAAAATACTAAAATTATTAAATGTTAAAATAAATAAAGAAAAGAATTATAAATAAATTTATAACTTGGACAAGAAGAGAATTAAAATTGGCGGAAATGCAGTGATTATTACCGGATTTGCAGTAATGTCGTGCAGTAATGGGAATATAAAGTGCAATAATTTTTAATTGGACGAAATTAGTGCAAAATGCACATATTTTGAATAAGGGTATTTTCGTCATTCAACATTTATATATAAATGAATTTTCTATTTGTTTTTGGATTTTTGGTCATACAAAAGTATAAAACTAGTTACGTCATAGATTGGGAAACTCATTGAGTTTTAGTCATATCCTAGTAAATTTCCCTAGTTTATTTAACGGAGTTTAGTTTTTAAACAAAAACTGAACATATATTTCAAGATTGAATACAAAGATAATAAATATTGATGCTAATTGATAGAGTTTAATCCAACTACGAGAGCTAAATCTACCAAAAGTATGTGAAACATACGGAAAATATGAAAGAATATGGCAACGTAAGGCAGTAAACTCTTATTCCAAAGGATCAATCGGCCGTCCCCCATAGGGTATTTACAAGAAGTATTTATAGACTTTAGGAGTCATTATTTTAGGAGGAATCTCATACAATAAATGCTAATTAATGAACTATATTCTTGCTCGAAATAGAACTCCTCTCATTCCTTGGACGTCAAGCATTAATTGTCTCCTTCTTGTTTCTAAACTCCAGACGAGTCCTGCCTGTTGCCAAATAGCTATGTCGAATAACTGCCTGCCACGCAAACCCGAGGAATATCCCGGCCTCACTAGAACTCTGCCCAGGCTCGAGGTCTGCTATGCATCCCGGCCTGGCTGTGGGTTCCTATCGTGGGCCTAATCCTATCTGGGCCTGGCGGCATATCGAACACTAATCCCGTTTAAGGGTTGATCCCGTTATGGGCTAATCCTGTTAATTAGGCTAATCCCATTAAGGGTTGATCCCGTTATGGGCTAATCCTGTTAATTAGGCTAATCCCGTTAAGGGTTGATCCCGTTATGGGCTGAATCACATAATTGGGCCATGGTCCGAATCCATGGTACCATCACGAGCCCCCTGATAAGTTCGTATTTCAACACGCATTTGATGCGTGTTGGGGTCGGATTTTGATGGTTTTCCTAACTTTTGGGTGTCGTAGGTCTCAATTTTAGCTCAAGTCATGTGTACCGGGCGTGGGTACGAGTTTTGGTATTTTCAGAGTTGAAATCAGGTTCTTGGGACCCGGCATCGGCATTTGAAAAGAGATCGGGACGAGTTAAGAAGCATTCGAGAGTGAATTCGCAGTTCTGGAGGCCACCGGGAGATTCACGATGATGTTTTAATGAAGAAAGAGCTATTGGATCGATCGAGTGGTCAAACGGAGGCTTAAAACGGAAGAAATCGAAGAAAATGAAGAAGAAAGGCCACGCACGGCCGTGCGTACAGGGACGCACGGCGTGCGTGCGTGGCAGTAGCGGCCAAGAAAAGTAATGAGCAACGCACGGCCGTACGTCCGGGTACGCACGCCGTGCGTCCAAGGCGTTGATTGAGGAAGAGCTACTGGCAGCAACGCACGGCCGTGCGTCTGGGTACGCACGCCGTGCGTTCAAGGCGACAAAACGACGAGAGGCTACTGGCAGCAACGCACGGACGTGCGTAGGGGAACGCACGCCGTGCGTTGCCTATTTTCACGCGCAGGTCCGTCGGACGCACGGACGCAACGCACGCCGTGCGTAGGCTCCGTGCGTACCGCGGATCTGTCCTTTTTCGACCCAAACTCATTGTTTTCTTTAAATAAGGCTTCCCTAACCCCGTTTTGGGGTTCGGAAACCTAGAGAGAAGCTTAGGGACGTGTTTTACAGTGTTTTCCTCTATTTTGTTCAAGACCCTGAGATTCTTTGTAAGTTTCATCTTTTTAATTAATGACAATTATTTTTATTCATCCCAATTCTGTTGATTCTTCAATTATGAGTTGTGAGTAGTTTAATTAGGGATTTGGGGTTGATGAAGGGGTTAATCATGATGTATGGCTAGATTCTTGTCGGTGTAATTGCATGAATGTCGTTTAATTTGTGTATGAATAATTTAATTGATATCTCTTGTAACCTAGATGGCCACTAGAATTACAATTGCTTATAGAATAAATTAAGAGAGATCTAATTTGTTCTAGGACACATTCACACACACTTAATCGTTCGCTAAGAGATTAGTAGCGATTAAGGGGCCGTAAGCTCGCTCGTCTTGGAAATAATTTAGGATCTTGTCGCATGAGAGATCAGCCTGGTCCCCTAAATTATTGTACTCTACGCCGCGAGAGCGGTAAGAACTTAGTTATGATTGGCTAGGCTCAATTAAATTAAATTCATGTAA